GAGCGTGGCCACCTAATGATGGCCACGAGGGTCATTTCCAGTGCCTGTGTGCTTGGGGATCCCAAGAATTAGAATCATAGAATCATAGAATGGTTTGGGTTGGAAGGGACCTCAAAGATCATCTAGTTCCAACCCCCCTGCCCTGGGCAGGGACACCTCCCACCAGACCAGGTTGCTCAAGGCCCCATCCAGCCTGGCCTTGAACACTTCCAGGGATGGGGCAGCCACAACTTCCCTGGGCAACCTGTTCCAGTGTCTCACCACCCTCATAGTAAAAAATTTCTTCCTGAGATCTAATCTGAATCTTTTTTCTTCCAATTTAAAACCGTTTCCCCTTGTCCTATCATTACACCTCCTGGCAAAGAGTCCCTCCCCAGCTCTTCTATTCCCTTTCTTCCTGAGAGAAAATGGGGGTTTAGTCTGCCATGGCATTGCATGGCTTCTGTCACCAACAAGAGCATTGGGCACACAGCACCACTTGCATGGTGCTGGAGTAGGATTTTTAACTATTAGCTTTAACGTACATTGTTCTAGCAGTCAGATTCCTTCTTTCCCCCTACAACTAGACAACAGGGAATTTTAGATTGAAATACAGGGATTTTTGTCCAAAAGCTGTTTTGTCACGCTGAGATTTTACTGATTTTGATGATATGGGGGGAAGCTTTTCAGGCTCCGGATCAAATTCGTTGTTGATCCAGTGAGAGAGAAAAGAAAACCTCCTCCAAACTCCTACCCAGATGGTTACGGTTAGGTGGAGGGGGAACTTCTGCCTGAGCCTACAGTTCTGCAGCAGTGGAAAATAATCCGAGGTGGCACTGCCACGGTCCTGCCATCCATCTGCATGTCTGCCACCTCCACTGTGCTGGCACCTGCATTGCGCTCGCCCTGCAGTGAGACAATCCAGACACACACAAAACTAGCACCTCCTGGAAAAAAAAAAAAAGAAGAGGAAAAAAAAAAGAATCATTTTGCACCAGTTTAGCTGCCCAAACCTGCTCACCAAGAATGAGACAAGCGTGAGTGCTGGCATAAAAGTGGAGGTAGAAATCTGCCTCAGGGAGCGGAGTGAAAAGTGGAATTGAGCAGGTAGGTCAGCCTAAACTGCACACAAAGTCCCAACAGTTGTGGAAATAGGCAGGAAGAATGAGGCAGCGATGCCAGAGCTATTCTGCTTAGCAGAAATAGCCCAGTATTGGCTGACCTAAAGTGGCATCTGATGAATAAGGCATTCACCAGGTTCAAGTGCCTTTCCCGGTGACCAGAGAAAACGGGGCAGCTCCGGGAGGAGAGACTGATCCACCCTGGAACAGGCAGTAACATGTGGGGTGTGAGGGAATGACACAGCCGTGACTCCAACCCGGGTCCCCCACACCCAGCACGAACACTCCAGCCACCAGGGCGCTGTGAGAGAATCGCTTGTTTGCCTGCCTTCAGTTTTTCATGACAAACTTGGAAAGCTCTCTGTTTTGTCCCCAAACAGAAGAGCAAGCTTTGGAAAATCCCGGCAATTTCTGCAGGACAAAAATATCTCATTCTCGCTAAATACCACTTTTTACTGCGGTCCTGGAGCGCTGGGAACACTCTGTCACCTCACTTGGGAGAAAAAGTATTTCTCAGGCACTTGTTCCATTAACGAACGTTCCCTGTATGTCAACACAAAGGATGAGAATGAGCCTGGAAAGGAAGAAAGAGCAACATTTTTGAGAGTCTAAATTACAATTAAAAAAGAAAAAAAAAGTTCTAAAGGAAGGAAAAGTAGACTATTAGTTATTGCTGCACAGTGGAACAGATCTCCGAGACACAAAAATGCAAGCTGTGGCCTTCTGTGGCCACAGGGGGCATTTCACTCTCAGCTGGTGTTCTCACCTCTTCATAGCTTCCAACGTTTTTATTATCATTATTTCTTCTAGTGACATTTTTCTGGTTTTCATCTCAGACCAAAAGTGAAATGATTTTGGAAAATTCGAAGGAAAAAGGAAGACAGGCAGGCAGGATCAAATTACCAGACAGCTATGGGATCCTGAAAAGATGCTTTCTATTTTTGAGTGTTTTTTCATACCATGACCCAGACGCTTTTTCTAAAAAGAAATTTCAATTTGCAACAGATTTAACCCTTGGGAGTAAAGCAATGCGAGTGGCTAGAATCTGTTAAACTCTTAATTTTTGAAAGACTGCAGGTTTTTTCAGTAAATACACCCAAAAGTTCACTCTAGCAGCACTGACGACCCTTTGTGTACTAGGGAGAACTCCCCACTGCTCTCGGTCCTTCCCTTTGGAAACAAGTAAACAGTGCTTTTCCAGAATTCAAGATAACGAAGAGTCTCAGTACAGTTAATGTCCTCCCTCCCTTTTTCTAAGGAAGGAGCTTTTTAGCATCCCACCCACTTACTGAAACCCTCAGCGATATTCTTGCCCTGGCAGCAAGCCACCAAAATGCCAGAGTTTCAGAGAATCTCTGCCGCTTTATTCCCTTCCACAAGGTTTTGGCTGCCCCCTCGCTCTCCTGTCTCCCCAAACACCTTAGCCCCGGTGTTTAATGGCTGATAACCCACTTTCATCCCACATTGACCATCTCCCCCGTGACAGTCTCCTCCCCTGCAGCCCCAGCTGTCAGGCTGTCCTCCTCCTCCTCCTCCTCCCTAAGTGCAAAACAGGCTCCAGCTCTCACCCTCACCCTGATTTTTCCTATCGGTTGTCTGGTCCTTCCGACCTCCCAGTAACAGGACCAGACCTGGACTGACAGTCTTCTCTGAGTCCTCAAATCCCTCCACTGATATTTCCAGCTGTTCTCCTCTCCCCGTTCTGCCTCTTAATGACTTAAGGACCGAGCTCTCCAGTGTGCCAGATCGAGATCTAGTTCACATAAGCTGAAGGGAGTTTTTCTGAATGTATAGTCAGTCATGTGCTCTTTGGAAGCTATCCTGATATATCGTTTAGCAAAAAAAAACAATATAAAGATGATAAAGAGGAAACCATTTTACACATACAGCCCAACACACAGATTTTATGTTGTTGCATAAATTACGTTATCACGTACAGGAGAAGAAAAAAAAAACATGGTTATTTATGCAACAGGGAGAAAGCGAATGCGAGGAATCGCTGAGCGCTTTTCTGACTGTTAACTCCTCGGTTGCAATGTGGTGCAGATGACGTTGGTTTTGGTTTTTTTTTGTGCTGAGGGTTACTAACGTGTTAGGGAAGAGCTGCACCCAACCTGTCCGCAAGCGCTCGAACCCATCCGAGGGTGTAACCCGCACTCTGGAGCTCAAGAGGATTTACCCCTGGGGCGGAAAAACAATTGCCTGCACGAAGACAGATATAGATCATTGAGTACTGAGATACTTGCTGCCTAAACGAGACAAATATATCCTTATGGAAGTAGCGACGCTAAGGAAGGGGAGACGGGGGAAATGACCGAGCGGGTGCAAAGCCCTGCCAGAGGAGGAGAGGAGGAGAGCGGTCAATCCTGTGGGGTAATCAGGGGTGCAGTTCCCAGCAGGAGGGATTAGCCTGAGTTTCCCAGTTAACCTTCCTCCATCTCGGGGATTCATTCCCGGAGAAGAAACGCACCATACGCACCAGATCTGGAAGCAGTTCAGGAGAGCCCCCCTCTCCCACCCCCTTTTTTTTTTTCTTTTTTTTTTTCCTTTTCCTCTCCCTCGAAGCCGTCGCCAGCCACAGCTAGGCAGAGAGGTGGAGGGGCTGGGGGGCAGCGCTGTGCCCCGGGTCTGAGGGAGGAGAGGTCAGTGTCAGGGCTGGGGGCTGTGCATGGAGGAGAGGGGACGGGGCCCGGGCTGGTGCATGGGGTGGGATGGGGTGTGTGGGTGCTTGCTGGGGGAGGATGACTTGCTGGGGAGGGAGGGAGAGGATGGAGAAGGGGCTTCCCTGCATCTGAGGAAGGAGAG